ACAATGAAAACGATACACATAACATTGAAAAAAGGAAACACTTGACCAGAGAAAAGAAAACACTTGACCAAAAGTAAAAAGACTTGACATAACAAAGAAGAAGAGACATGACTACGTAGGTCATTATCATTCATTTTCGTTTTAAGTACGATATAGAATTGGGTGCATAGTGAGTTTCTTAGCCAGTTACGTTTCTTAGCCAGTTACGTTGATTGAATAGCTCATTGACTGCACCATCTCCAAAATGATTTTCGACGATTGTTGTGAGAAAAGCTCGAAACGTGGAAGTGATAAAGTCATTGGTTAATGGATGGCTTATAGTCTCCATCAGCTCAATTGTAAAGCTTCCATTTTGCTCAATCACTCCCCTCAATTCACTAAATTGAGAAAAATACATAGGCAAGCTGAATAAGTCGATCTTTTCCTCGCTTGTTACTCCCTACGATAGAAAAACAGCAGATGTTTACTAGTAATTTATCATCTCTTAAGCATTAATTCATTTGTTTTTAATGATCTAAAACTATAATTTCTTGGTTAGAATCCCATATAAGAAACATGAACCAATATACTTATTGCTAATTTGTTTTGAGATAAAAGTCCCTGAAACTTAACATTATATCAGAAGTTTGAATTACAAAACTAAATAAAAAAATGTTTTGGGATTCACTACAAGAAATATCTACATTGTTAGCAAGAGAGAAGAGCTATTATATGTCATCAATAGCGTTTTCATAAATGCTATGTTATGCCCCTATTATGGTAGATCCCCACATACGATAGCGTTTTTGGCATGTTATGGTAAACCTCCATGTACGATAGCGTTTTCATATTATAACACTAATAGAACGCTATAATATACTTTATTGTAACACATGTTTAGTGCTATTTTCTTTCACTATATAAATTTAATTTGATTTATAAAATAAAATTTATATTGGAACCCAATTTTGTAAAATTTACTTATTGGACATATATATATATATATATATATATACTTTTATATTTTATAAATCATCAATAAAGTAATATTACATTAAAAAAACAAGTCATACATAACATCATATTAAGTCTTAGGGGGTGTTATTGGTTTGTGATTTAAATAGAGTTTTAATGACTTTAATTGTTGTGTAGAATCTGTTGTTATTCAATCAAGATTTTGTTAAACTCTCTTAAAGTTTGGTGTTATTAGTTTGTGATTTGTAAAAAGTCATTTAAAATCTTAATGAATATTGTGTTATTGGATTAAGAGTTTTATAAAGTCATTAAAAGTTTTGTGTTATTCAACTAAAACAAAACAATCTATGACAATCTATGATTGTTAATGAATTCAATTATTGTGTTATTGGTTTATGATTTTAAACACTTTTTTTTACAAAATAAAGTCATGGAAAGTATGCTGAAATATTGAGATTGTTTGGGAGACTCTACAAGATTATAGAAAAACTAATCAACAAGACTATAGAAAACTCTCTAACAATTCTTCTAAATCATTCACTTATTCACTTTCTATGATTTTATTAAAGTCATCAAAACTCTATTTAAATCACAAACCAATAACACCCCCTTATACTATTTACTAAATTGTAGCCTAGTCTTAGACAAACTAAAGGGGCAGAAGAAGTGCCACTTAAGATCCCCACTTCTTATGTAGGACATATCTGTAAAGAAGAAGTCTTCAGTTAGCTGCAAACACATGAAAACTCCCTTAACAGAAAAAAAAAAAAAAAAAAACGCTTTCAAGTTCACAGTAAACAGGAGCAACAGAAGCGAATACCTAGGCATGGGCGTTCGGATATTCGGGTCGGGTTCGGGTCGGGTTTTTCGGGTTCGGGTTTTTCGGATTTAGAAAACTAAGACCCGTTTGGGTATTTTAAAACTTTGGGTTCGGGTCGGGTTCGGATCGGGTATTTCGGGTTCGGATTCGGGTTTACCCGAAGTATCCAAATATTAGAAATTTTGTATCCGATTCTATGCAAAGTATTGAAAAATACTCAAAAAAAATCTATAAAACCCAAGTATTTTAACCCATATCTAACCCAAAGTAGTAAAACACCCGAAAATATCTTAACATCCGAATAATTTAGGCACTTAGGTTATTACAAGTATAAATATTACTAATATATTATAACTATGTACTTATATTTTGGGTATGTTCGGGTACTTGTTCGGGTTCGAGTTCGGGTCGGGTTCGGGTTCGGGTTTTCGGGTTGTGAAATTTAGAACCCGTTCGGGTATTTTAAAACTTCGGGTTCGGGTTCGGATCAGATTTTTCGGGTCGGGTTCGGTTCGGTTCTTCGGGTTCGGGTATTATGCCCATGCCTACGAATACCCTTTGATCAAAGTAAACAGAAGAAAACAGAGAATCGAGAAAGAAGAGAGAAGAAGAAAGAGAGAGAAGTCGACGATTTGAAGACAAGTCAAGTCTAGTGCCTGAAGAGGATTATCTGAAAACACCACAACCTACCCGTGCTCATATTTCAAATCAGATCCAGAAATCACAAGAAAGAGACAGAAAATCAAAAAACCCATTTCAGGAGTTACAAAAGGAAAACCTAAGACTAGATCGGAACACACAAAATCACCATCCACAACATCGCGGCGTAGGATTAGAAACAGTGAGAAAAAGTCGTACCCGGAGAGAGAGAAAAACTCGATGGTGGGAAAGGATGATCGGCGTAAAGGGGGAGGCGAGCGAGATAGATTTAGGAGAGAGTGGCGTGAAGGATAATGAGGCCGGCAAAGAGCTCACAGTGGAGTCGGAGTCGATGAGAACCTAGGTTTTGATTTGGGGAAAAAACATTTTTTGTGTGTTTTGTCGTAAAGAGATTGTAAGTTTTTTTTTTGGCTTTGGCTATACACTATAACCCTTAAAACTTTTTGGATCTGAAGTTTATGGCGCTTAACTGAAATTTTCATGTAAGTATTGGCGGAATAAGTGATTTTCGCTTCTGATTTGTTGATTTTTTTATCTTAGCATTGTTTTAGTGCTATTATATAGTAATCAAAAAATAAGATTCATCTTTCATAACAGTTACGGAAAATGAGCTATCGTCGTATGCTATCAATGTAGATATTTTTTTGTAGTGATTGTATATCTTACCAGTTTGGCCATATCCATAAGACAATCACCGACGGTATCGAACACATTACTCTGGTAATACCTCGGTTTCAGGAATATGGTGGTTGATGCGGGGAGGTTTAAAAGAATTGATTTGGCCACCTATGTCACCAAAATGCACTTATTTTTTCCGTCAACTCACCTGAGAGAACTCCACAGTTAAGCGTGCTTGGGCTGGAGTAGTTTCAGGATGGGTGACATTTCGAGAAGTGATTGTCGGAACTGTGTGAGTGATGACAAAACACAGGAAAAGATCATGTGGTGATTTGTAGGGTCGGTAAACAAGTCTTTAAAGCCTCTCGGACGTAGCGGACCGGCCATCAGACAAGAATGGGCCCATAGGCCCGAAAGATGACGTGGGGCCCACTAGTAGAGACGGTCGGGACGTTACAACTCTGCCATGTCTCATACATGGGCAAGCCATCCGGTAAACATTGACCTAATTTAATCATTAATCCTCCAGGTACAAGCTCTTCCTCTCTAGCTTCAATAAAACCCCCATGTCTTCAACGAACTGAAGTTTGTAGGCCATTGTCACTTCTTCAATTAAATTGTTACAATGAATGTAATTTCTGTTCCGGGCCGGAGATTTCTTGTCACAGACGTGCAGAGCCGGTCCGGCATATTTGAGTGACCTACGCAATTCTTAAAAAACATGCCCTTTTCATATCACATTTCCAATGGTGGCATTTTTCTACGAATTGAAACAAGCAAAAGAAAATAAAAATAAACATATAACCAGCTAAAAATATAAACTAAAAATGTGAAACAATTACCAAAAGTATGAACTAAAACTATGAAACAATTACCAAAAGAATACAGAGAAGTCAAGAAGAAAATTAAAAAAAAAACTAAAGAAAACTAAGAAAATAATATAAAGTAATTTTAACAAGTGTATGATCGATTTTTTTTTTCTCTAGAGTTTAGGATTTTTTTTATTCAAGTCTTTAGGTGTTTTACTTATATATGAAAAAGCCCACAATATTTATTTAGAAAGGTCTTACACAACAATCTAATGATCCATAGTATAATATATATGAAAAAGCTTTTAAAAAAATTTATCTGAAAAGGCCCTCAAAATTTGAGGCCCGATCAGTGGCTTCACTTGCTTATCCTATGGGCCGGGCCTGCAGACGTGTTTGGGAACTTTGCAAAGCCAATGAGTTGTGTAAGACGTGTTTCCGATGTGGATGCTGTTTCTTGGCAACACTCGGCCATAGAAGACCCTGGAACACCAACCGAGAAATATTCCCGTTCCGACTTCCGAGGAAGGAGACTAGGTTATAAAGAGTAGGTTAGGATTGTTATGTATTTGGCAATTAGTATTAGAATAATAAACATGAGTATTGTTAGGAAATAAAAGTGTTTGGCAAATGGGATATGTGAATTAAAAAAAAAAACAAAAGACTCAGAAAAATTATGGACTTGTTAAATCAGTAACTAAAAAGCTTTCTAGAATATATCTTGTAGTGTTTTCGAAATCCTAGAAACAAAAAATCTTTCTAGAATCGGTCAAAATGGAGAATATCTACGACTTATTAGGCGTATCTTGTAGTGATGATTTAAACCAAAAAAAAATCTTGTAGTGATGATCTTCTAATGGATATCTTGTAGTGAATTTTCGAAAACCCTAGAAACAAAATCTTTCAAAATAATTTCAGTTCACAAGTTTAAATTCACCAACATTTTTCAATCTTATAAAAAACTTCAAAACTAATATTTTTGTAGAAAAATCTCAATCGCATATATTAGTAAAATTAATAAAATAGTTAATCTGCTAACGGATGTTTAACACGTTGAACAAGCAACTTTTTTTGATAAAACAGCAAAAGTTTATTAACTTTTCTTTATTTATTGATTACAATAAATCAAATTAAGAAAAAAAAAAACACCCTAACAAACTTTAATATCATATCTGCGACTTATTAGGCATTAAAATTGAATTCTTTCAAACTCAATTAAATTTAACAGCAACTGATTGAGGTTGACTCACAAACTTCCACCAATCTCGTTGTGCTTCCATTTCTTTGCATAGAGTCGGTCCAAACATGGCATTTGCATACCATAGCCAACAAGGTAGACCAAAGAGTAGACCAACGAATAGAGCCAAACGGGTAGAGATACAATAACAGAGGTGGAGGAAAATAACAAAGCCTAAGTTATGACAGATGCGTCCTATGATGTAGGCATCTTTGCATTGTGAAGAATCCTTGATTCCCGAAATCCATACTAAGCAACTTATTAGGCCGAAAATGAAATAGAAAAAAGCGATAAATGCCAGAAATGCAATTACACCTTCGTTTAAGGGGATCTTGTTAAATTTTATATACATGATCGCTGCAATGTTGAGGATTATAATGAAGCTGTTCATCGCAATGTCATATCGTACATTCGAGTTCATCCTGCAACCAACCATTAACACAATGTTTTTATATAGATCTTATGTTATGTTACATTATATATAGTAATGGACGAAAAAGAAAAAAAGAAAAAAAGTCAACGTTATGGAGTCTCACCACCAGAGACGGAGGAGGCTAGGAGATTCATGGAAGACTGTTTCAGTAGACTTAGTAGCAGAAACATTAGTATTAGTCATGGCTTCGATAATTTACTGGTTGCTAAAAAAAAGGGTGCGTTAAACCCTAATGTCTACAAATGATATATGTACATATTGTGTTGAAGTTGGGATTTGGTCTAGGTTTCAGATAGAATAAAGTTTTACTCGGTAATGGGTTTATCACATGGGCTTTATTGTTCGGGCTTGTAGAGTCTTATGGGATTAAGCAAAGTTGTAAACCACTGATGGTGATGAAACCAACGAGGAAAAAATGACAATTAACAAATGTATGGAGGAGATTCATTGGTTCTAAATGACATTATGACAATTAACATAATGTATGAAGGAGATTCATTGGTTCGTAGGTTCTAAATGAATTCCACATGGTTTGTTAAGGGGGGTGTATTGAATTAAAGATTTGAGAGGATTTGGTGGAATTTAGGAAATTTTGGATTTTGAGAAAGTTAAGTGAGTTGAATGGTGGAATTATAAAATATTTGATGATTTGGTGAGATTTTATTTGATGAGATTTGGTGATTTTAAATAGATAATCTTGGATGATTTGGTGAGATTTTTAAAACAAAAAATAGAAAAATTGGATTTACAAAACAAAACACTGCGACATTGGTTTACACAAAAAACATATTCTCTTTGCAACGTTGCTTTACAACAAAATAGGAATTATTATTTGAATAACAGTTGATTTGATATCAACTTTAGAAATTGTTGTTTGAATAACATTGGATTTGAGAAGAGATTTGAAAATCCCAAATTCAATAACAGGTGATTTTACTAAAATCCCAAAAAAAATTAAAATCCTACTTCCAATACACCCCCCTAAGTCTTCATTGAGACTGGTTTGCGTAATTTATGGGAGGTAAAGAGCTTGGTTTAAAAGAATCAAGAGGTTTAGATTTCTTAGATATTGATAATACGAGACTCTCTGATTTATTTTCTGACGTCGCCTTGGATATCGGTAGCAATGCCCCAAGGACGTACATGAAGACAATAATATCCATAAATCCCTAGTGGTTTGAGTTGTATGTGTATCATAAAGACGACAAAATAAATGGTGCTTTTTTTTTTTTGTCATCCGAAATTAATTAGTGCTCAAAAGAGCCATTTCTGGGGAATGTTGTTTACATAAGTGATATGAAGCGGGCCTGTACGAACTTTTCGTGCCAGATTATCCGCTTTTACATTGGCATTACGAGAAATTAAAGATAAAGAGAAGGTAGAGAATTCTTCCTTGTCGCTTTGGAATTCCTCCGAATACACTGAAAACGCCGGCCATTCGGTTGGAGAAGACATCATCTTCACCAGATCAGAACAGTTTAAATGCTGCTTTGTTATGGTCAAAGATAAACAATTTCAAGAACAACTGTTTGGTCTAAAAACAAACAAAATCGTCCAAGAAAAATAAATTCCACAAAAAAATCTTGAAAGTAATTCCTAGCGACGACGATCCTCGAAAACCCCTTTAAACAGTAGCAACTACCGACTGTGGTTTATTCACAAACTTCCTCCGACCTCGTGATGTTTTTATTATGGGACATAGATTTAAGCCAAGCATGGCGGATACAGTATTTTACTTTCAAAATTATATCTTTAAGTTTCTAATTATCTTCAATTCGTCATTTGCTTAGAGCAACTCCCCATTCATTTATTTGTTTTTATTTTTAAAATAAAATAACTCTATTTTGGAGTTGAATTTTTCTACCGAATTTTATTTTTCAACTCCAAAATGAAAATTTTCAATTTTTAGGGTAAAATAAAAATGGAGAACCCAAATATAGAAAAATAAGATCCTTATTTTAGACTTGAAAATGAAGATGGGTTGGAGAAAATCTTACTCCAAAATTAAATTTGGGTGAGTTGAGATGGTCTTATCGATCAACAATATGCACTGTGACAGAAAAAGAAAAAATGTTATTTGGTTTATAATTATTTTTTTTGTTTCTTAAGAAGTTCAAAATATTTGCAAACTTAGCTTTAACCCCCTAATTACTATAATTCTGAGGGTATTGTTGGATTTTAATTAATATAAATTTCAGATCACCAAACGGTGTACAAAAAATCAAGATTCACAAAACTAGGGTAAATTTATCCTTTCTAGCTAATTTTCTCTTTCCAATTTTCCCATTGAAAAATAAAAACATTTTATTATTAAATGTATACACCAAATACATATGTATTTCTTATGTATTGTTATGGTGATTACATAGTGAAAACAACATATATAACTTTAAGAAAAAATGAAGGTCTTCGACAGGGAAAAAAAAAAAGACTTGAACAAATAAAAAAGGACTTGCAAGATAACAAAGACTTGAACCAAAAGACTTACCGAAAGAAAAGACATGACTCATTATATCATTATCCCAAATATTTATTTTCGTTTAAGTACGATATAATACACAACTTGTTTCTTCCGCATTTCAAAATCAATTGGGTGCTTGTACAGTTTTTTAGCAAGTCGATCGAATAGCTCATCGACCACACCATCACCAAAATGTTTTTCTATGATTGTAGTGAGAAAAGCTCGAAACGTGGAAATGATGAACTCGTTGGTTAATGGCATACCCTCCAATGGATGGCTTGTGGCCTCCATCAGCTCAATTGTAAAGCTTCCATTTCTCTCAATCTCTCCCTTCAATTCACTAAATTGAGGAAAATACACAGGCAAACTAAACACATCGATCTTTTCCTCGCTCGTAATTCCCTAAAAAGGAAAGATAACTAATTATTACTAGCAAATTTTCATGACCCTATAAACTTTAAAACAAAATATATGAAATGATATAGTATTTAAAAAAATGATGCTTTTTGAATATATTCAAAGTATAATTATCTTACCGATTTGGCCATATCCATAAGACAATCACCGACGGTGTCCATCACAAAACCCTGCCATGTCTCATACAAGGACACACCATCAGGCAAACATTCTCCTATTACAGTCATCAGTCCTCCGGGCACAAGTTCTTCTCCTCTAGCATCAAGAAAAGCGTCCATGTCTTCTATGAACTGGACCTTGTAAGCCTTGGTAACTTCTTCCAACAAATTATTACATTGACTGTAATTTTTGTTCCAAGCCATAGATTTCTTGTCACATACGTGTTCAGGAACTTTGGAAAGCCAGTGAATCGTGTATGAAGTGTGTCCAATGTGGATGCTGTTTCTTGGTAACAGCCGACCATAGAAAGAGCCTGGAACTCCGACAGAGAAATATTCGCGTTCCGGGGAAGGAGGTTGGGTTTTGAAGAGTGTGTTGAAGTCATTGGTGGTGTGATCGTTGAAGAAAACTTGGAACTCGAGAGGCACAAGGCTATGTTCGTTGTTTTCTTTAAAGTGTCTGGATTTGACCGTATCAATGATACTTTGAACAACATGAAACGTGTTAGGTCCAGTAGAACAACCAAAATCTGCAATTCTAAAAGTACTAAAATCAGAACTCAGTTGGAGGTCGAGCTTTTCCAAGATGCATCGTCTTGTCTTTTCTTCAGCGCCACTTATAGCTACTTTCTGTATCACATAATAATTTTAGTTAGTAAAAATATTTTTTTTTGGATCAAATATCTATTTCTAATACAAAAAAAAACGTATAACATGGTGAAATTCTAGCAATAAAATATAACATGATTAAATTCTAGCATATAATCAAGTGAATTTGTAAGAAGCTCACTTTATAGATTAAATATGACTAAATAACTCTTTTAAAAAAGGGTTAATAGAAGAGAGAGGGAGAGAGGTTGGATGTTCGATAATGAAATATGATTAAAAAAGTTTATGAGTTTGGGCGAAGTTTGAAGCAACATATAGATTTTAGGATATTGGGACTAGAGAATAGATTTTATTTGCTATGAAAACCAACATTTCAAATAAAAAAGATTAAGGTGGTGTTATTCGATGATGGATTTTAAAAGAATTGAAATCCAACACTAATCCAGTGTTATTCAACTAAAGATTATAAATCTAACGTTAAAATCTGGTGTTATTAGATCTTATACTTCATTAGATTTTAAAAGTTTGGTGTTATTCAATGGTGGAGTTAAAGTCAATTCTTTACAATTTGTAAAATCTAGTGTTATTCAAAACTAAAAGACTTGTAAAATCTTTGTATATTAAGTCATTTGAAATGAAACCTTTTTGGGGTTTCATGAGTAAATTATTAGAATCCAAATCCAAGATATAGTGTAGAGATTTTGAAATCCACACGAACAGATTCTTAAAACCAATATCAGAAAGCAAATCTAAGGGGGTGTTATTCAATGGTGGAGTTAAAGTCAATTCTTTAAGGTTTAGATTTGCTTTCAGATATTGTTTGTAAGAGTTTGTTTGTGTGGATTTCAAAATCTCTGCAGTATATCTTGGATTTTGATTCTAATAATTTATTCATGAAACTCCAAAGAGGTTTTATTTCAAATGATTCAATATACAAAGATTTTACAAGTCTTTTAGTTTTGAATAACACTAGATTTTAATGAAGTATTTTAAATCTTAGTTGAATAACACCAAACTTTTAAAATCTAATGAAGTATGAGATCCAATAACACCAAATTTTAAAGTTGGATTTAGAATCATTAGTTGAATAACACTGGATTAGTGTTGGATTACAATTCTATTAAAATCCATCATTGAATAACACCACCTAAACCTTAAAGAACTCCACCATTGAATATAGTAATATTTTTACCAGGTTAACATGGAGTTTTGTTTTAAACATGTAAAAGTTTAAAAAAACCTTATGATGGTTTCCAGACTGTCAACGTATTCAAAAGTTGTGGAAGTTTTGAAATGAAATTTGAACAATATTTATACGGTATATATAAACACGTCAAAATTTTCTAAGAGTGTGATTTTTTTTTATAATTAGTTAACATTTCCAAAAACTTAATGAAAGTTTGGAAAATTATCATAAATATCTGATAATTTCACGTGATGAACACTACCTCTTCCAACAAATTTTTCCAGTTATCCGAATCTATGTCATCTCAAAGGTACAATTTTTGTTATGAAAGTGTTAGGTTTTTCATGACTTATGTAAAAGGGTTACGTAAGACAAAATGGGTTAATCAGACGGTTGCTCTTATAACCATCCAAATATTTCGAATTCACAAGAAGAGAATATAATTCAAAATATATCATAACATTACCTGGTATGAAGAGTTATGGATGTAACTGTGTTGATCGTCACCGCTGCTCATCGGGTACAAGTGAGATGATGTTGACATTGCTCCGTTTTTGTGAACTTATAATCTCTTAATACCTTAGTTTCTGTATATTTATAACGAAAGAGGCGAATCAAGTTGAAATTTTTAAAGATGGGAACAAGTAAGCATTCAGTAAGACAAATAAAATATGTATTTTTAGAAGAACTAGATCGAAACCCGCGCTACGCTGCGGGGTTTTATTAAGAACTCTTATTTATGAAAAAATTGTTTGACATCAAGTAATTTTTAGAGAGTAACATGTATAATGTGAATTTAACTAATATGTAATCTTTTACCAACATTGCGGTTGATTTAAAATGTTATATATTTTTTTCTTCTAATTAATTAGTATAAAATTAGATTGATTTTGGTTTATTAATTTATAAATCTATATAGGATTTCAAAATCTCTATTAATTAAGAAATAACAATATATGGATTTTGAAATAACATGTGTTTACCCATGAATTTGAATCCTTCTATTTCTCTCTTTCAATTCCATTCAAAACCATTTAAAACATATAAGATTTTCAAATCCAAAAACAAATGACTAAACGAATAACATAGGATTTTAATTAGTACTAGATGAATACCCACGCTACGCGTGAGTTTTGTTTCGGAAATTGCTAAAAAAATTTATGTTGAATGTTCTCATTGCTAATTTATCTTTTTTTTTTTTTGTTATCGTGTTGTTAATAAAATTAGATTCATCTTACGTAGTTATAATTTTTATGGTTACATTTATTTTTGATTTGAAATATCAATTTATATATTTTCATGTATAAGTCTGATTGTTTATATATCTAAGATCCTAAATTTTTTTCATTATCATGACTACATACAACAACAATATAGGATATTTTTATATAGTGATATATAATTATGTTACTTGTGTGGTTTGAAACTTGTCTAACTTAATTATAAATAAAAAAATTTCAGTGCTCTATGCACTCTCTTGATCTAGTACTCCGGCCACATCATGATAGGCTCATTATTAGATACTGGATTGACATAATTTGAACAAAATCTGAAGAATTTTCATATGAAAAGAATAAAAAGAAAGCAAAAATTAAAAAGGCATTTAAATCAGCACTTTTAGATCTTCTACCATTGCATATATCCATATAAAATAAATAGTTGTGTCTTGAATTATTGGGTATGTCTAACATCTTAAAGATTCATTACTTGAAAAAATTTGCATGACAATATTACCAACTTACCATAAGACACAAAAATGGAAAGAGAGATGATCATATGATAAATCGTATATGAACCATAACACGTAATAATGAGAAAATACTCAAGGTAAAATTATTAAACTAATAAAATGTTAGAGAACAAACAACTAAACTACACCACAAATAAATTTTCAGTCATTAGTGACCATTGATATAAACAAATTAGTAAAATCAGAAGAGTAAAATGAAAATAGTGTTTGATTTATTAACATAATTTTATAATTTTCATATTTTTAAGAAATAAGTTAAAAGTAGGATTGATGGATGGTTTAATGCAATAAAGAACTTTTATGATTTTTTCATTTAATTTAGCTAATTATTATTTAAATAATGTAAAATGACACATGTCATTTGTTTGTGTGATGATGTGGCACTCATATGGAGAGACTTTGCCAAGTTTTATATATATGATTTATAAATCATAGAACCAATAACACATGATTTTAATTAGAATTTTAAAATCAGTTATTGAATAACAAAGTATTTTTGTTTGAATTTCTAATTCCTTAGAAATCTATGAACCAATAACCCCTCTTTATCTCTACTTCTAAGTTTCTTAAAGAGTACACAACTAAAACCAAACTTACTTTGGTTGAAGTTTTTAGACCCAATCTGATCCGGTAGTAAAACCGGTCCAACCACAATTGAATTAGCCATCGGTCCGAGGTTTTTTATTTATTTTATAATAAGTATCAAATTAATTGTAATATTCTTCTTCCCCCTTAATCTTCTCTCAATTCTTTGGAAAAATGGGATAGCAAATTTGGTTTTCCTTTTTGTTCGAGTTTTCAAGTTTTAGATAAATATAGTTAAATAATGATTAATTAAATATAATCTATATTATACTTTTAATATATATATGAATTGTTTGCAAATCTTATTTAGTTCGGCTAATGAAAATATTTTGATGTGAAAATTCATGTACTTATCGTAATATGATCAAATTTGGTTTGGTTTCACGTTAGTAAATTTGTGTGATCGAACAGAATAAATCTTTATTAATATAATTATTTGTTTGAAATAGGATTTATTTTACCATTTATAAAAAAGTGAGGGTTTAAAAACCCACAAAAAAAGTTGAGGGTTTTTAATATGTTTTTATGAAATGTGAGGGTTTTTCTACCTATTTTTCCCAATTCTTCCAAGGCTTTATCTTCATTCTTAATTCATATTCTACTATCAGAACAAAAATAATTGACACCTCAGTAGTGAATCACTTTATCAATTTCTATATTTTCTTTTCACTTTTATTATAATTCATAATCGCTTGGCCTCATAATACAATAATAACTTTTTTAGTATTAATAATTTTGTCAAAGGCAATAAATTGCTTTCGTTTGCAAAACCAAAGATTTGGGGACTGGTTCAGTCAGTTAACCATTGATTACTCTTGAAGCAAAGAACCTGAAACCATAAGAGCATTTTAAAAAGTCTGAAAATCACGAAAACTACGATTTACATAAGTTTATCATTTCAAATGCGCGCTTAAAGTCTCAAAATTTCAGCCATTAGATTCAACTCAAGCTTGGTTAATTTGTGTTTGATATTAATGAACACTACTAATCTTATCTCAAACTCAAAAGATGATCAAATGAGCAAATAAAGTTTTCGATTCACACTATTGATAGGGATTTCTAGATCATGCTTCATTCTTAAAATGGAGCTTAACTAGATCTATTCTTAAAATTCACGTTTGTAATGAATGCATCGTCTCCCTTGTAGCTTGTTATCAAGTTTCGTTACAGCCATTTCTCAGATTAAACCACGTTAAAGCAGATGGTATTAAAAAAGAGTAAAAAAGGAGTTGATTTTTTTATAGAAAAAAAAAGATAATGAAATGGGACAGAGAAGAATTATTATTGGACGGATAAATGAGCTGTATTAATCGAAATGTTCTCATTGGTTAATAATTTTAATGATGTGTCATGTTGAGAATACTCCAAAATGCTTAGTGTTTTTATTGTATTGATTAAATATACTTTAAATGTTTTGCATGTGATTTAGTTGACTGACAATAACAGAAGTTTGAACAAACCAAAAAATAAAATAAAACAATGTAGGATCGTATTTCACGCTAACATGGGTACCAATTGTTTATTTGTGCAGTCTGTTTAATTGTTAAGTGATCGAAGATAATATTGTCAAAGTTTAATAGACATCGACGCTTTCACGTCTAAGATCTGACTTGGTTTCCGCTGCTACTGATGTTTATATTTTTAACACGCTTTTGATTTAAATAAGTTTTTAATTTGATTACTAGATTTTAATCCGCGATACATTGCAGGATGATTTCTTTTTAATGTTAGTATATATAAAATTTTGCAAATTGAATCTCTTTAAAAAATATTTATATTTTATAATTTACAATTGTTATTAAGTGACGGTATATGACGAGTCTACGAGATATTTTTTAATAAACTGAGGATTTAATCCGTATTAAACTGCATGTTAATGATGTTTTGAAATTTTATAAATATTGATTCAAACCCGTCCGCCATATAAATCCGTTCCAAAATATAACTAAGTTATTTAAATTAAATAAGTTATTTGATTTAAATTAAATAATTTTTTAATTTGATTATGCTAGATATTAAATTTTATTTTTATCTAGACATTTTTTGTTGTGTTTTTCTTGTTGGTTTGTTGATTATTTTTTCATGTTGAACTAGAAAAATATTTGAGTATCAAACTAAACTAGCAAGTTGATGGATAACAATGAGCTGATACCAACATGGCAACAGCAAATATCAAAAAGGGAGATTGTAGGTGCACATATGGCAACCGCGAGCTGATGGACAACAACTAGCTGATACCAACATGACTGCATCTGTTATCTACATTAAGCGTCTGATGAGTGCGAGAAAACTAGAAGCTAACGTGAAACTTTTGAGAAGCTGATGTGTTATGGTACAGAAGTGAGGAGCTGGCGTGTCATGGATATATGGTTGAATTTGATATGGAGATTCAAGAAATATTTTCTAGAACTTGTATCTACACTACAAGAAATCATAGCAAATTCCGACAAACCAAATAGTCGGAAATTCGTCGGAAATGGATGTTTCCGACGAATTTCCGACTACACCAAGTTTGTCGGAATTCTCTGGTCGGAAAACAATATTCGTAGGAAATTCGTCAGAAATTTCTGTCGAGATGAGTTGTCGGAAAATTCGTCGGAAATATTTGTTGGAAAATCGTCGGAAATATTCGTCGAAAGCCCGTCGGAAAGGTGTCGGAAATGTCCGTCGGAATAGCGACGGAAAATTGCCGACGATATCCCGACGGCATATTCCGACGCCATTCCGAGGAGATTCCTACAAACGACGCCGCAAGATCGAGTACGATTCCGACGATTTTCCGACCACAAATCGTCGGAAGTTCGTCGGAACGTTCCGACGAATTTCCGACAAAATATAATAATATATTTAATAGTTTCCGACGAATTTCCGACAAATCGTATTTTTTTATTATTTTCCGATGAATTTCCGACGAAATATTATATTTTATTAAAAAAATATATTTAAATTTTTTTGTTAATTAATATAATTAATTAAATTAAATAATATTAATTTAATTTAATTGTAATAATTCAATAAAACAAACACAAATATTATATAAAAACATAATTAAAAAAAATAAAATTCACCACATAATATAAAAAACATAATTAAACATTAATAAGTTCTTAAACAACTAAAAATTATTACAAACGCGAATATTATATATTATCAAATAGAGTGTCAACGTTATTTGTTTCATTTACATTTCCGGGTTGATCTTGGCGAGAAGGCGGAACGATGTCGGGATGAAGACGGGCCATCATATCCATCCAAAACTTACAATCTTTTAATTGAGTCTTCAACTCGATGATTTCGGCTGC